TCGCTCCCCTGGCAATGCGCTGAGGCGCGATGACATCACCCCGGTCCGCCTCAAGAGGGCTGCCCTGACGGGGGTTTACTACGGGCCATACGCTCTTGGTATGCTGCAAAAGTTTACTACTTCATTTTATGAAATTTTGTAAATAAATTTAACCGTAAGCCTTTTAGAAATTTCTTCTATAACCTATGAGATTTTGAGAGCAATCAACATACCTAAAATAATCGTCTTGCTCATTTTCGCGTAGTTTCATCTTCTTTCAAGCTTTGACTTTTCCTTGAAGAAAGGCGACCTTAATTTATCTTACCACTCTTTTTCGTGGCTCGTAGAACAGACCTCTGCCTGAGTACGATGATGACAGTTAGTAGAGCCTCAAGCACACCATAGATCAGACCCACTATCCAACTTATAGGTCACAGCCTCAGTACCCCTGATCGGGCCACAGTGATGGAATTGAAACGCGCTTCAAAAATGTACCTTATGAATTGGCAGCTGGAGTTTGGGATACAGTCTATTTTAGCTTTACACTACTTGTTACCAAAATCTGATGAATCCATTTTGTCAAGCCACTGCATACTGAAAACTTCTAATGAAGTACAAAACCTGCAAATAGCCTGAGCAGACTGTGTATGATTATGTACTGTATACAAATTACGCATTTGAAAGTATTTAAACTCTTTCAAATTACACAGTTATGGCGATTAACTCCAGGTATGCTCCTTCTTTCTATGTTACTGATCTGCCTCATCAGCAATGCGAACCCACAAGGTCTTGGCCTTGGACCTCTTCTTGCGAGCCTGGTGGGCGCTGCTCAAGTGGGAGGTAATTCAACTTATTGTTAATCATTCTTTCCCCTGGAAAAGTTTTATACGTTCGTAATAGCGAGAGTAACCGGTCAAGTATTGAGAGGTGTAGGACTTGGTTTGCACGGTGTACGGTCGGCAATAGTGCAACATCATATGATGTTTGGCTCCAAACGAAACGAAGGTAAGCGAAATAAAATATCTCAACACTCTTTCAAGAGCCGTCAACTGAGGAGGTCCCCAAATGGTCTTCCAGGAACCCCGCCTATGTCGCTTAACCCGCAAAAAACTGTGTCAGGAATGGATTCTACTTCTCAACCGGAAGCAATTCAGGCAGATGAACAGTCAGGTGGCCCAATGCCAGGCGATATACAAATGGCACCTATGCCACTCAACCGACAAAGACCAATGGCGAGGAGCAACCTCCCAGTGCCAGAACGAGGGAGATATTCCCTAGCGTCAAATTATAGTAGAAAACCACCAATGCGAACGCAAAATAGGTCACTACCGAGGTGGAGGAGAAGGCCACCAATGCGGATGCGAGCACAGCAAAGGAGAAATCCCCCAAAATCAAAGCAATGGAATTCCCCAAAACCAAGGCGATGGGGGCCACCTAAGTAGAGCCAGGTAGATTCCTAACACATTGCAACACTTTTTCACATTTTATAGTACAGTTAAAATTTGAGGAAACTTTGAGTTTGAAATAGTGATACCTTCGCCCTGGTTGCATTCGCCACTATGGCCCATAGTAAAGCAGATGGGTTATGCTGTCTCACTGGGAATGTGCTCCATGGCCAACGCGATTGACGTGGGTCGTGTCCGAGAACCGGTTGCGACCTCAATTTTGTCACGATGGCATCGAGACCAATGCTTCCTGCATCGGAAGCATTAGAGGTTGAGAGTAGGCTGAGTCGTGCACGTTTACGTGGACCGTAAGTGAACAACACTTAAAAGCAGCGTCCGGGAAGAAGTCGATTTTGAGAGTTTTCGCTTACCTGGGCCTACTCGTTAGGTTGAATCTAAAAATCCTCGCTGGAGAGCGCAAAAGCGACGAAAAGGCTCCAACGCAGGAGAAGAATTGTCATTTGGGTAAGGGTATTCCGCCCTGTACAGTCATTCTCGCAACTTCTGGAGCAATGTTCTCGGCTATGGCTAACAGCTACGCGTTGGCACAGGACCGGCGACGATTTTAGGGAGGCTGGCGGAAGAGAGAAGATTGCTACAAAAA